AAGGAGGGCATAAGAACTTTTGCTTATCTAGGCGATTGGCTAATAGTGGGAAACTCTTTCGAAGATTGTCAAAGGGCGACCCAACGTGCACTAGTACTATTTCAAAACCTAGGATTAAAGATAAACCACGCCAATTCACATCTACCATGTCAGAAATTGGATTGGCTAGGTCTCCATTGGGACACCAATCAGCAGTCAGTCAGTCTACCAGAAGCAAAGGTAACATGTGAAAAACCAAGTAGAAGCCTTTTGTGTAAAGCAAGAGGTTTCTTGGCACAATTGGGAAAAACTAATGGGTCTGTTGAATTTTGCCACTATAGTGGTTCCTTTGGGAAAGTTAAGGAAGAAGCAACTAACTCATCTGGGCTCGAAGTTGCTTCACAGAAGCAGAAATATTGCTTCTCTCCCTATTCAGATCAAGAATCATCTGTTATGGTGGACAAAATTGGACAATCTAATCGGTTCATCTCCCTGGGTTCCCCCTCAAACAGACTTGGTCGTTTGTACGGAAGTGTTTGAGATAGGATGAGGATACCATTCCTCAAAAGGAGAGTTCCGTCAAGGGAAGTGGAGCAACTCACTTTGGGACAAACACATATACATAAAAGAATTAGCAGTACGTAGTCCTATTCTTTTTATTGGCAAACCGAAATTTAAGAAACATGACGATTCTGTTTGCCATGGACAACAGAGTGGCAGTGTTTTGTCTCAATCATCAAGGCTCAACCAGATCTTGTCCCCTTCTCACTGTAAAAAAAAAAAAAAAATTCAATGTTTGTGTAACACAAACACTTTACTTCAAAGCAACTCACATACTGGGAGTACAAAACAATTGGGCAGATGTGTTATCCCATTTCAGGCCAGTATCGACGGAAACAGAACGGTCCCTAAAGATATCGAAGTTCAAGAGTCTAGTGAGGAAGTTTGGGACTCCACAAATAGATCTCTTTGCCTCACAAAACAATCACAAGATGCCAACTTCAGTATCTCTGGAACGATCGAGTCTTTTAGGAAATGCTCTACTCATAGATTGGAACCGTTGGAATTCAATCTATCTGTTCCCACCTGTGAAAATGATGCCCAAAGTGGTTCACAAACTCAGATCCTTCCAGGGAAAGGTCCTCTTAATTGTACCATATTGGATCCTACAACCGTGGTTTCTGGATCTGTTGGAATGGTGTCCGCATCCACTGCAATTGCAACAAGGATGTCTAGACCAGGTACTGCACCCTCAGTTCGAGATATCCTTGGCACTTCACGCTTGGAGTTTCTCAAAGGATGTTTAATAGATTGTTGAGTAATTCCAATATAGTTAACCAAGTGATAGCAGGTCATAGACACCAAACTTCTATGCAATATGAGAAAGCTTGGAAACTTTTTCAACAATTTATCAGGTTAACGACTCCAATCACATTGTTGGAAACAGTGGTGTTAGAATTTTTATATTTTCTGTTCAGAGTTAAAGGCCTTCAAGGATCTACAATTGCATCTTATAAATCAGCATTGGTTGACCCTCTGACGTGGGGTTTGAATATTACTTTGAACCCAAGAATTTATCAAATGCTCAGATCGTCCTTTTTCATTCAGAGACCTCCTCGGCGTAAGAGAATCCCACCTTGGTCTCTAGATAAAGTTAATAACTTTCTTAGGGGGCCTAATTACAATATAATTCTGAACCGGGACAGATTGCTCCAGAAGGCATCACGGATTAATTCTTCACGATACTGTTCCACAGTAACTGGTTTCAAGTTAAAGGCTTTACTGAGTTTGCGTAGTTCTCTTAGAAACTCATCAAGGGCCTCACCAGGCTGCTGCCGTCGTGTAGCTAAGAGGTGTCAAGCAAAGATCTCGTTGGGAGTTTTCACATTCACACTTTCTAGCATAGATATGGCATTTTCAAAGGTTGTACACTCCTCAATAAATTCATACACAGTTCACCAGAGTTGGTTGCTACATCCAAGCTTTACTTGACTCATTTCACTACACATCTGAAATAACACAAAAGCAAATGTTGTAACAATTCAAAGAGGAAACAACAATGAACATAATATAACATGGTGGTTTTATCCTAATAATGAAATAAACTAAAATGATACAGTACAAACAAGAACAAAATAATATTACAGTATTTTCCATAATGATATTTTAAAAATACCACAGTGACTAAGTTTTTCTCTTATAAAATGTCACTTAACTGACCTGGGAGAATATAATTAACGTAATGCTGGAATTCTTATAAGATAGTGTTTGGTTTGAATATACAGTATACATGCTATAGTTTGCATTAGACATACAAATTTTAGTTCAAATTAATTTTATTACAAAGGGCTAAAAGTTTTATCTCTTGTGCAAAATATATGACATTTATATTCAAATTATTCTCTGTCATGCAAGGATTCTTGCAATGCAAATTATATTCTCCTAACTTTAGTCTGTGATATTATATAAGGAAAAAATGTAAGCCTATAACCACCCAACCCTGGCTGGGAAGATTTGTGGGGGGGGGGGAGGAGGAGGGAGGTAACAGTGACATGTTTGAGAGTTGAGGCCGAAGGTCTAGTGAAGTATTTATTTGTTTATTTATGTCCTATAGATTGAGTTTTTGTTTTTTGTTTATAAAATGTCACAGAAGTGACCTGGGAGAATATAATTTACATTGCTGGAATTCGTATAAGATAGTGATTACAGTAATTTGAAGAGAGTATAGTCTGGGTTTACGCGCATAATTAAACCCATGGAGGTCCGCGTATAAAGCGAAACGCTTAAATAAAATAACAGAACATATGGGATTAATTGAAATAGAGACTGGGCCGACTTTCAGACTACCCTTTTTGGGGCTATCGCCGACACAATACGTACGTTGTAGTAAAAAGAACATCTTCATTTTATGATGGTATGCACACAAAATTAATATTTAAGAGAAATATCAATAACATTAGGTTTTTTAACACTTACGTTAGTAGAAGAGATGGCTGGGCACACAGGGATGGGGGGTTGGTTCTGAGGCAGAGGGCAGATTATTGGCCCTCACCTGTATCACCTGTATATCTATCCAACACAGAGGCTAGCAGGGCCTCCTTGTCAAACACCTCAAAGTCCATATCCTCACTATCACTAACTTGGGCTGGCTTGATTCATTCACTCCATATTGTCTGGCCAGATCCACCTGCCTCGTGCCTTTTTCTAACTCCTAAATGATCTTGTACTTAACCTCATAGCTTAAGGCGCGTCGCACCTTCTTGGGCTTGGGGCGGCTTGGGCCAGGTAGTTCAAGGTTTCTCAGGGGTGGTGGGGGTCCAGCGGTAGCCATTGTGTAGAAACAAAAAACAAAACAGGTTCGTGGGCATGAGTGAGTATCCACTGGGACAATGAGACTGGCGCAGCCAAGGTCATCAGCCTGGTGGCAGGGGCACGCAAGGTCAAATAGACCAAAAACAGAGCGCGGCGGAGGGGGTGCGTGGGTGGTAAGGATACGTGGCCCAATCACAGTCCACGACCTCATCAGCACGAGTCTGACGTCAGTGCCCAGCACCTTGCACGCCGCTTGCCGCGTAAATTAAGGAATGTACCGCGTAACTAATAATTGTCGCGTCTGGACAGGTGCCGCTTAAATGGCCAATCACGTATAAAATATCCACATAAACCCAGACTATACTGTATAATCATGCTATAATTTGCATTAGACACAAATTTTAATAATCATTTAGTACATTATTTTGAGTAGATGTACAGTACAGCTTTGCCCTTAGAACAGTGTAGCGTGCCCAGAGAAACAGGTGCGAATTTTAAAATATGATGCGCCAGATTCGCTTTAAATTAAAACATTGTCCTTAATTGTGGGTGTCGCTTTAAATCAATAATCTTAAATTTAATCGCTTTAAATTGACGTTCTACTGTATATTGTATATTATTTTATGCAAAAGAATAGCTTCTTCCACACACAAACCATCCTCTGGTCAACATTACATAGTTCAGCCTGGCAGTCATCAGGGATGGGCAGAGCCTCCCATGCATCTGCATGGGTCGCATGTGTTATGCTATTCTGCCATATCTCGGATTATTGCCAGTTATTGCCTTCACTTTTTCATAGCAGTAACAATGCAGGAAAATCATTTGAGTAGCGACCATTGTAAATCTAATCTTGGCCATTGCATTGGAGTACAGGTATTTGGTGTTAATTTCTTAACATCGTAAAACTGAACGATCATATAAAAATCAATGAATTAACAATTAACACCTATACAGTATATATTCAGATGAGGTTCCATTGGGGAATATAGAGTTTGTACAGACCCGTTAGTATGTTCAGAATACAACACAGTACAGTGCAGCATATGAAATTTTCAGATATGTTTTAATAAACTTTAGCTGATGTGAAGCAACCTTGTCATGAAAGGCCTTTTTTGAACAGAAGAGCTACTTATGACAGTACTGTACTGTCACACGGCTAATTCAAGACAATTAACCTCGGCCCCTTCCCCCCTGAAAGCCTGTCCTCTCACCTGACTTCTGTCACTCTACAAATATGCCATTTAATGAGTTAGATTTTGAGTAAGTCTGAGTCACTGTCAGTCATGATCGTAGGGCAATATGTTAATTATAACATGAAGGTTTATGTGAATACAGTAGTGAAGAGATTCGGCTGTAGCACCCAAGGAAGATTCACTCTCGGAAATTTATTTAACATAGGGGGTGTGTAATATACACTCCAACCAGTTACATTTCAAAGAAAATGTAGAGTTTTAAAAATGAATTAGCCGTAGATTAGAATAATGGCTTTGATTTGCAATGAATAGGATTCTTTTGTAACAAAAATACCCCTATTATTTTTAGAACCAGGAAGCCCAGATCCCCAGCCTGATAACCCATCACTTTCAGGGTCTGGATCTTCCTCTGATATTTATCACATATTGTACTGTACTTATCACTGGGAGGGGCAGGGGTGTGTATCACATTCATTGATTGTCGAGTTGTTCACTATTTAACAAATTTATCCTCAGGTTTCATTAGCTTCATTTGCCACATATTTACTGGTGTCTGAGAACAATGTCTTGGATGCTCAAATGGCTTTTGTCTCCATTGCACTTTTCAACCTGATGCGCTTCCCCATCACCCAGCTACCACAACTGATCGCTAGCGGCATTCAGGTGAGTACAGTATAGTATAGTCCAGTAGAGTACAGTACAGTTCAGCAGAGTACAGTACAGTTCCCATTGCTGTATTGTAAAATGTACTGTGTACAGGGGGTCCCCTGATTACAAACGGGTTCCGTTCCTGAGGACGTTCTTAAGTTAGAAATGTACGTAAGTTGAAACACATGCTATGTGCAAGCCGTACTTACAGAACAATGTTTAAAATTCCACAATATCATAGCTTAAGTCCTTATATACAGTACATCTAAAATAACTTAATTTAAGAGAAAAGAATAAATAGAATGACAAAATACAGTAAATGAAAGTAAAAAATAAGACCTCAGGTAAATAAACTACTGTAAATTTAAAGTTCAACCTAGTTCGTATCGGTGGGAATTCATGAGTCGGATGTTCGTAAGTTGAGGACCCCCTGTACTGTAACATCTACAAAATTTTGATCTTTGTTAATATTTTTTAATGTCTCTATATATTGTATACCTGTATTGTCTATATTCATGCTGGATCAGTGTAAACGTGCATGACGATTTTACTGAATAAATATTCATCTCTCTCCCTTTGTTACCTGAAGTTTAGGTCACACTTCCCCATTCACACTTTAACCATTCCACATTTCCACACAAAACATCCTACCGAGACACATTGTGTTTGGGAAGCACATGCCTAAGGGCATGCCATTAATGCAGGGATGATAGTTCTGGTAGTGAGGATCTAGAAGTAGTCCAAATTTAGAAGTAGTTCAATCAATTAGTCAGATTCTAGAACTAGTTTTGGTAGTCAACTTGTTGATCTTTCTTGAAAGTCACAGCTTCCCCTCCATGTCACACACAACACTGATCAAATATTCTCACATCTGCTGAGCTTCCACTCATAGACCTTGATCACCTGTTAATTTGGTTGTATATATATATATATATATATATATATATATATATATATATATATATATATATATATATATATATATATATATATATATATATATATATATATATATATATATATATATATATATATATATATATATATATAATTTTTTTTTTTTTTTTTTTTTTTTTTAAGCTGAATGAGACGTCAGCAAATGCTACCTAGGTATGTTAATTCCTAGCCAATTCGCCAGGCCAACATACAGGCAATTAAAACATCTAATAATTACTTAATAAGTAATATTAGGAGGACACGTCGCTACCTGGCATTTAATTGCAATTCTCAAACCCCCCTCGTTCACCATCAATATGCGCATCAAGAACACTGTAGCGTACTGTATGTGGCCAGTTGTCAATTCTCTTTGTATGGGCACACAAACGTACGTACATGTAGATATCTCCACTCAGGAATGAGGTAGGATAGAAACTCGCAATGCGCTTTCTGTATATATATTGTTGTACAGTGCAGTGCTTAGGAGTGACTAGGTGAGGAGCTGTGAGAGATGTTGCTGGTCCAGTAGCTGAGTGTAGAATGTTCTCCCTGGGTTGTTGTTGTTGTTGAGATTGTCAGACCGTAGTCCGTTTGGTGGTTCCGGCTGGAGCTCCAGGAGCAGCCAGACCGGATTGGGATTGGAGGTGGTCTCACCTGCAGATTTGGAAGGATACTGCAGGTTGCAAGTGTGAGCGGACCCCCGATCAGTGGACGCTTACCACCAACCCCCACTCTTGGACGTGGTCAGTTTTGGAGTGGCGCGCCCCCCGAACTGGGGTCCGCACTTGCTGGGAGAGGATACTTTCTAAGCTATCTGGGTGGTGGGTATCGTGTGATGACCCGGAGAAGGTGGTGAATGCGGTCTGTTTGGGCCTTTCGGGTTAGAGTGGCCGCTGGTGTTGTGTGTGCTTCTTGGGAGATTTGAGTTCTGTTTCGGAGGCTTTGTGTGACTTCGCAGTCGAGGAGATAGTGTTCAAGTGGGTTGGCTGCCGGTTCCTGACAGTAGGTGCATTCCATGACGTCATTTACGATCATCTGCCAGGAGCACTTGTACCCTAGTCGTAGTCGATGAAGGCTGACTTGGGTTTGTCTTGGTGTTTTCTTGTCAGCGAAAGGTGGTTCCCCTTTTGTAGCCGCCAGGTACCATTTGGCTGATTGGGAACCAGCGTTGAATGCGTGAAGGAAGCTCTTTTTGATGTGGAGCTTGCTAGTCTTTCTGAGGTGATTCTTGATCTGTTGCACGCTTGATGGAACTTGAATGTGTACGCTACTAGAACGTGTAGCTGCTTCGTCTGCCACGTCGTTTCCTCCGATCCCTACATGACTGGGAATCCAGTGTAAGACGACTGGGCGGTTTTGTCTTCGGAATTCCTGTAGCTGTGCGAGGATCGAGGTTATGATGTGGACGTTGTCTCTTGGTTGACTGTGTTGCAGCGCCTGCATGGCCGATTTCGAGTCCGTGCGAATTATGATGGACTTGTTGTGTTGTGTTGCAGCGTGTTGTAGGGCCTTTGAGATTGCTACCAGCTCTGTTTGTAGGGTGGAGCAGTCATTAGAAAGTCTCCATCGGAGGGTCTGACCTTGGGTGTAGAAGGCCGCTCCGGATGTATGATGTTTTGGATCCACCGAGCCGTCTGTGAAGTATGATGCTGCATCAGCCGGTGTCTCGGTGGCTATGGCTTCCAGAGTTATTTTTGTCAGGTCCTCCTTCTGGAGGTTGGCTTTACTATCGCCTAGGTCGGTAATTTTGAATGTGGCTGGTGGAGGGCTCCATGGTGGAGGAACTACGTAACCATTGTCTCGTGTGTCTTGGTTGTTCTTGACGAGTGTTTCTGCTTGCAGGTGTCGGATGACCTCGCTTGCCTCGTGCGACCAGGTGGCCCCTCGCACTCTGTGGTCGAGGTGGAGGGAGGCGCTGATTCGAATTTTGGCAGCTGTGGGCTTATCTGATCTACAGATTTTGGCGAGGAGACCGGCTGTCACCTGCTTGACTCGTACTGCCAGGGGTGGTAGTTCGGTTTCCATTTGCAAATTGCAAATTCTGGTCCACATGGGTGCTCCGAGCATGGTCCTGAGAGCATTATTTTGGATGACTTCTAGCTTAGCTATCTGGTCTTCTCTCAGTCCAATGAGTGCTGGAGCACTGTAATCTACCAGCGATCTGATGGCGGCCGTGTAGTAGGCTTTGAGCACATGAAGGTTTGCTCCTGCGGTTGTGCTGGTGAGCGACCTCATTATATTGTGTCTGCTCTTCGTCCTGTGCCTGAGATACTCGAGTTGCGGCTTGAAAGTGAGTTTCTGGTCAAACCAGATTCCAAGACACTGGTGGGTGTTGGTCCAGACTACCGGCGTGTTTTGTATGGAGAGCATCTTGTCTGGTGTGTCTGTGCAGATGGCCATCGCTTTCGACTTGGCTGGATTTATCTTGAGTCCAATTCTATTGCACTCCTCTTCTATAAGTTGGAGTGCGTGTTGCGTGTTGGCTAGTCTGTTTGATCCTCTTACTATAAGCTGTAAGTCGTCTGCATAGCATAGGAGCTTGGCTGTTTGTCTGAAAGGAAGTTTGACAAGATTTTCCATCAGGACATTGAACAGCATTGGACTGAGGATGCCTCCTTGTGGGGTTCCATTTTCATGGACCCTGTAGCTTAAGGTTGCTCCCTGAAAGCGTACTCGTGCTTCTCTCTGTGTGAGGTAGTTCTGGATCCACCCCAGCAACCTTCCTTTGACGCCTTTTTCAGCGAGTGTCGTTGTAATGGCCAATGGATTTGCTAGTTTGAAGGCTTTCTCCAGGTCGAGGAAGACCACCAGAGCTGGTTTGTTGTCCACTGTGCTGAGTATCTCGGCGATGTTGTTGTCTGTGCCGGTGTTCTCGGTGTAAGCAAAGATGTGAGGGTGTGGGCTGCCTACTTTCCACTTGAGTCGGTTGAGAGCCATTCTTTCTCCCGTCTTCGCTATGCAGCTGAGAAGGGAGATGGGCCTCGGTTTGTCTGGTTCTCTGGGCTTCGGAATGGGCTGTATATCTGCCTTCTTCCATTCCGGTGGGAGTCTTTGTGCTGTCCACGAAGCATTGATGGCTTGTAGCAGAGCCTCGTGTCTGGCTGTACCGGCATGGGAAAGCATGGAGTAGGTTATCCTGTCGGCCCCTGGTGCTGTGTCCTTGCTTCGTTTTAGCGACTTCTGGAGTTCTTGCTGGTTGAAAGGTCTGTCGGTGTCATCTTCACTGTTGCAGGCCTCTTCGATCATCTGGAGTCTGACCTGTCGCAGACGCCGTTGTGTCTCCTCCGCCTGTCTCGGGAGGTTTTTCGTTGCTGCTCGGTCAGAGAACAGTTTTGCAAGTCTCTCGGCTTCCTCTTCTGGGTTGGGATGGGTTGGTGGTGGTGGTGTTGCCTTCCCAGATGCCCTTCGGATCTGGGCCCACATCTTGCCAAGGGAGGTGTGCTCGTTCAGTTCGGAGCACCACTTGAGCCAGCTTACGTTTTTTATTTCTTCCTTCTCTTCCCTGGTATCCTTAACTATGACTTGCAGGAGATGTCTGTTTGTTTCCATGGGATGTCTCCTGTAGTTTCTTCGGGCCATGTTCACTCTGTGGTTGAGTTCTTTCACCCTGGGACAGTAGTACCAGTAATCATTGTACTGTCTTGATGTGGGTTTTGTTTTGGGGATAGCCTCTTCTGCCGCTTGGTGAAACGCATCGACCAATTGTTGGTGGAGGGTTGTCTCGTCCACGGGTGCTGCGCCGGCCGGCCGGCTGTGATTTTTCGCGCCACTTAGCCAGGTGTTTCTTAAAGAGTCCCCAGTCTGCCTTTTGGGTATTGTATCTCCATCTCGGGAGGGTTGGAGTGGGGAGTTTGTTCACCTTCAGCGTTGTTAGGGTGGCGAAGTGGTCGCTGGTCAGCGTGGGGTGTAGCTGTCAGGAGGCAGAAGGCTGTAGTGCACTGGAGACGAAGGTTAGATCTAGCCTTCCTCCTCTAGTGTGGGTGGGCTCTCCGGTGTTCAGGAGGCAGATCTCGGGTGTATCTTGAAAGGTGGTGTATAGGTATAGGCCGTCTTCATTTGTGGGGCTTACCGAGCTTAGG